GGAAGATCTGCTTCATCGTTCGATGGAGGAGCTCATGGTGCTTCTGCATGAACTTCATGAGCTTATGTGTGTTTGTGCAGGCTTGTTGGAGCTCTTCGGCCTCCAAGTCCTGAGCCTAAACCTGCAGCTCAAAGCCACTACCGGCCTGCACATCGATGCCCTTTGGCGCCAACTCAGCGGCGAGACCTTGCGAAAACCTCTGGATTTTCACCATGTCTGGCGGGCTTTCGGAGATTGGCACATGAGCATGTCGTTCCTTCCTGGAGATGGAAATTGCAATTATGAACGTGTTGAACGCGAACTTCGAGGCCTGCACCGGTCTTGAAACCAATGACTTTGATCAGGGTGCGCAGTTCGAAAACATGGGGAGTGTCAGGGCTTAGGTCGTTGTTTTGCCGTTTAACCAAATGTTGGATGTGCTGCGTGCATATCATGCACGGAAACACTCACCGTCGCTGCTGTCGTCATCATCTTCGTCATGTCACCGATGCCATCATAAGAGCCAGCATCATGACGATCATGAGACTGCTATCATCGCCAAATCACGGCCACCGCCAGGTCAACCATCAGCAGCAGACCCAACGTCTCTGAAGTACACACAAGTCCAAGAATCTACATAGATGTCTCAAATACAAAGAGATACCTGTCACATACCTTCAGAGTGTTGAACTCGCAGGTACGACAGGGTTGGGGATGTCAAGGGGCTTTTCCACATATGCCTTGGCTGCAGAATACTCTGCCAGCAGTGGCGATGTCATCCTCGTTTGAGTCTCGGAGATCTTTGCTGTTGAATTCAAGTTCATGTTCCTGATTTCGGACCCACTGGAAGAACTAGATGATCTAGACAGATTTGATAAGAAGGCATCCATCGGGATAGATGTGATGTGTCTTATCGTCAACCCCTGGCAAATCTAAACGTGGTATACTAGTGGTTACCACACTTAAAGGCGCAAATAACTATCGCAAACCCTGCATGGGACCCGTGCTCATGGACCGGAAGCTTGGGGAATTGACGTAAAGATTGGCTCTTGCCATAAAGGACAGCTAAACGTTCGGGGAGACACGAACCTACTTTCTCTCTTATAGAAGCTCCTGCACGAAAAGGAGCAAAGACATAGCTGGTGTAGAACCGCAGTGCTTCAGAATCTTGCTGTGACAGACACATGACCTACGCCATGTCAAAATTGAAACCGAAACCTATCATGGCCAAAAGCTCGCGCCACGGCTCCGAGCCGCTCCAGAGGAGGTGTTGACGATGGCGCCACGTTTGCGCAAAAGCATCCCGCTCTTGGGCTTTAGGTCCTCCATAAGAACTCTGAAACAAGGAAGCTTGTAAACGGAGGGCACCCGAAACGAACGTGGACTTTAGTACACTTGCACCGGCGTGCATTGGTGTAGCAGAGTGTATCTTTACATCCAACCGATGTCCTTCGAACGGCATACAAGCCAAAGTCATCCTCGCTAACACTAACAGCAGGTCTGAGTCGTGGACACAACACTGCTACGACTGCTATGAATCAAGCCATTCGTACTTCGTACTGGCTCATATCAAACAGACCAAGCAAGAGCACACTGAGTTGCGCATGCATCTTGCTGCTACGAAAAAGGGAATGTTTCGTAGTAGAGCTTGGCAAGCAAACTTTCCAGCACTATTGGTAGTGTTTTCAATACCTCGCGGTTCATGAGCAGGCAGCCGTAACGGCCACACATAGTGCTGACTGGCTTACGCGTGTTGAAGGCTTCTGGTAGATTGCAAGATTGCATTTGTCAAGCTTCCAGAAGCAGGAAGGTTCAGAATCCAAGTTAGAGACAACGTGGGGCACACGGTTCCGCTCTTCGTGTCTCATGCAGACTAGGCCCTGAAGCAAAGCCTCGTCAATCTCTCCAAGGACAATGCGAGTCATCCACGTCATTGAGTCCATGTTGACCTGCACCAAGCCCGACATCTTTCACACTTCAGGAACCGACAAGGAGAGCTTACAGTTGGAGGCAAGGGCCGTGACAAGATTGCCAGTTCTAGCATGCGAGCTATCGTAGGAACATCTGCAGACCAGATATCGGAAATAGCACACAGCACCAATGCCTGCATGATGTCCGCAACTTCAGAGTCTTTCAGCTCGTGGAAGTATTTCGTGAAAGGGTAGGACATCCCGACATTGTTGATCTGCAGTCGGCCAGGCGTCAGTCGTGACACATGCTTAGGGGAGGGAGAGAGGTGCCGGGGGAGCGAGACAGGGAGAGAGGGAGGAAGGGGGGGAGGGAGGGGAGGGAAGAGGGGAGGAAGGGAGGGGAGGCAGGGTGGAGGGACAAACCAAGTAAAGACTTTGGAGCATTGCATAGTCCGTGCTGAAGAGATCCTGGCCCAGCAATTACGTGACTATGTCACAAAAACATGCCTGTCACAACTAATTAGGTCGGGGTTGATGTGAATGTCAACCCATCCCTTCCTTGCCGAATGTTATATAAAGATCTCTTGAAGAAATTCGATTCGAGCGCGAGGATCCCGCTTGCACAAATGTTTTGCACGATAGGCAACAATATTTGTTGGGTGGCTATAGATAACCTACCTGTAGAATGTAGGCTATCCCAATTCGTCAGACAGTCTCCCGGTAGCAACTACGCCTACAAATGTTGGCTGAACCATTTATTTGCCGCCTGAAAGGCTCTCAAGTCTTCTGCAAAAGTGTAGGCCTGGAGAGGCACACCGTGGTGACAATTTTCCGCAACACAATAATTAAGACGGTCATCCCTTTTAGTGTGATGCACGTTGATGTGGAGCTACGCCGGGCGCTGAACAAAGAATTGACAAGCAGTTCGGTCATGAAGCTGCCGGCATGTTCATGGCTGTGGGCCCACGTGTGCAAGGACATGTTGCCAAAACACCATACAACTAAACTCTTTTACAGTCGAACAAGCCGAACCGATACAAAAACACCAGAAATGCCATAAAACTTCGTGAAGTTAGTCATCCAAACTAATTATACCATGAAGCTCCATGCAACAAAATTCGATAACATGCTGAAAATACCATCAAAAAATGAATTGGTCCAAAAAACCACTCCTTCCAAAAACAAAAAAGCACCGGGGTCCTCCCGACATACGGAAATCTTCTTTGAGGGGCACGAAAAGCAAACATGCAAGCACACACCAAACACAACATAGGCACTACATGGAACGAATGCAATGCATACAAGAGAATCCAACATGCAACACAAAACATAAACCCACTGACATCGACGCATGCACCAGCGACCCACACATAACGCACACATGTACACCCGTCTGACTTAGTTTGATCGAAACTCCTGCTAAAGCACCGGGAGCCACCGCAAGAATTGATTCGCAGGAAATGGAATGTCTAATGATGTTTTCGTAGTTGCTGCACGTTGCTTCCGGCCAGTTAAGACCCCCTCGTTGAGAGACACACTTTTCCTTAAGGAGTCATTGTCAATCACCGCAATGCGTGAGACGCAGCCCGACGACCAAAACACCAGCAGACAGGCGGGCACGCCGACAGAAAAACACACCGACGACCACTTGGAGTCTTGTGAGCTGTATCTTCTTGCTAACCTAGTTGCTCAGATGCAGAGACAACTAAACATGCTGATGACACGCGGGCACAAACACACGCACGCCCGCACGCGCACACACACACACACGCACACACGAGAATAAATGCAGAGACACACACAGACACACACACACACACACACACACACCCACACCCACACCCACACCCACACCCACACCCACACCCACACCCACACCCACACCCACACCCACACCCACACGCACACGCACACGCACACGCACACGCACACCCACACGCACACGCACACGCACACGCACACGCACACGCACACGCACACGCACACGCACACGCACGCGCACGCGCACGCGCACGCGCACGCGCACGCACGCGCACGCACGCGCACGCACGCGCACGCACGCGCAAGCACGCACGCACGCGCACGCACGCACGCGCACGCACGCGCACGCACACGCACGCACACGCACGCACGCACGCACGCACGCACGCACCCAGACACACAGACACAGGCACAGACAGACACGCAGATACGCAGACACACGGGCAAACAGACAGACGGACGGACAGACAGAGAGAGAACAGACAGCCGACAAACAACCGACACACAGACGGACGGACGGACAGGGACGAAGGGGACGGACGGGGACGGGCGGAGGGAGACGGACGGGGAGAGGGACAGACAGAGACGGACAAACGGAAGGCAGAGACGGACAGATACACATGTACAGAAAGATATGGACAGACAGACGGACGGACAGCAGACGAACAGACGGACAGATGCACAGACGGACGGACGGTCGACCGGACAGACACACAAACCGACAGAAAGACAGAGAAACAGACAGACATAGACAGACCGACAGGCCGACGGAGCGACCGACCGACTGACCGACTGATCGATTGACCGACTGACAGACTGATCGACCGATTGACCGACGGACTGACCGACGGACCGACGGACGGACGGACGGACCGACTGACGGACCGATTGACAAACAGAGAGACATACAGAGACGGAGACAAACGGACGACTGACCGACGAAACACAACAGACGTAATACAATCCTAGGCCCCGCTAGTGTTTGTAACCGACTTTCAACCGCGGGCCCGAAACTTGGAAGTTCCGGGTCCGCGGAGTTTTTAACTTAGTGTGGGGTTACTGATAGGGGAAAGCGATTCTTTCAGTTCCTGTGCAGTGCGGCTCGTGCGTAGTTTGATGTGCTGAAGCAGGGTTGCCTGCAAGACCGACGGACCCCCACCCCTACAGGACTTTACCGAGCCAGAGCACGAGAATTCCGATGTCAAGCGGGGCCAGCTTGGATTTCCTTGCAATGCATTTCTGGGCCAAGCCATGCTACAAGGGAGCATTAGTTGAAGTTGCATACTCAAGTCTGTGATGCTGTAGTACTGTAGCATCTCCAAGCTTACGCCACAACTAGCACATGGAACGGTTTCCAGTTTGCCCGACCGAAACTACCGACATCCCAACACGCCAGGCTTGTTTCAAGCATGGAGAGGGCTTCGACAAACCGAGTCACATTGGCTAAGATGTCAAGCAAGTAGCAGGTAGGGCATGTGTCTGTTACAAACCCTGCCGCTGCCGGCATTTACGGGGCGGGCACTGTGTGCCCCCACCTGCCGTTGCAGATCCTTGATCAGCCGGATGTCTGAAGCTGCCGCTGAGGTTTCAGGTTGGATTTGCTTGAACCGTCCTTGTGGTTCGTCTACCATACTTCCTCCTCTGCAACTCGCACCAACTACGTCAAGCGAGCGTCAGATCTACTTCCACGACTTGAGGTTCAGATTTTCCTGCAGGCTCAGAAGACTTTAATGGAACGTGGCGAAATCTCAACGAGCCAACATGTCCCCAATAAAAAAGATAGTCATTGACGAGTGACACCATGGCTCGAGCCGAGGCATCGAACTTGGAAAAGTCGACCTGCAGCACGTCCACAGTCGCACCTTCGACGGCTTCAAGTTACGGCTTCTTATGCATATAGGATAAAGGGATTCGGCGATTGATCGCACGAGGGATAACATAATCGGGCCCGATGTGGGGAGCCTTCAAGCACATCTGAGACTCAGTCTTCAACTTCTTTCCTCTGCTACTCTGCCGTCTCCATGCATCGCTGGGCAGTCGGGCTGCCCGAGCCGGGGACGTCTCTACTCATGCTGAACTTTGGCAATGACTTCCATCGTGGGTTCTCTCGTTTTCTCTATCGAAGCGGCAACGCGTTACTTCCTCTGTTCATCTTGACATTGCACGAAAAACCAAGAATGCTTATCGTAGTTCCCAATACCCAGTTTGCAAAACAATTTCATTGATGGGCTACCACTTGTGATGCACACACGGACTGATCCACAACAGACCGAAATCTTGAGTCTTGTGCTCACGACGGCCAAACAAGCTGATGGCCGGAAGGTAGGCCACTCCCTCTCCGGGTGCTGTAACATCATGCCAGTCTTCTTTTGAATCAGCCCCTTGATTCCCTTGATTGCAAACCACAACCTACTGCCCAAATCAGAAAAGCCGAGATCACAGGAGCCCATACCGAGTCCAACATGAAGCTTACTCTCGACTTCATCCGACCTGAGCAAACACTTTTCAGCTCCTTCGCTGTGTCTGCAAGCTTCTCCTCGCTGCGCGCCACCAGCAGCACCTCCAGCGGTAGGGGGTTTTCGGATGCAACGTGGGAATCCAAACGTGCTCCTGGTCACAAACCTTGATGGAGTGTTGAAGAGCCCTCGCTGCAAAGGACTTCCGACGTTAATGAACATGATATGTATAGACTCAAAGACAGCCAAAAGTCCAAAGGAGACTCTGAGAGATGTTCTCAACCTCTGTAAACTGTTGTTCGCTGGAAGAATCAGATCGAGAAGCTGGAGACAGGCTCCCGGAATTGCAACGCGCCGTTCCATCTTTATATCTTATAACGACGACAGCTCCACACATGCCGTGACTGGCAGTCACCCCAGCCTTGAGCCCTTGAGAAGCGAGCTCGAAAGCATAGGCTTTGCCAATACCATCCTTGACTGCGAGGTGTACTTCAGTTTGATTGCTTCTGCTCCAGTCCAGGGTTCCGTAGAGACTGAGTAGTAGCCACAAACCCAAAAAATCGATGGGGTTCGGGTGCCCCGTAAGTTTAAACTTGGAGCGCCTCTCCAGACAGAATGATTCTTGCCTCTAAGGGCAAGCGGAAAAGAAAGAGACGGGGAAAGAGAGAGAGAGAGAGAGGGAGAGCAAACAGAGAAAGATAACGCGAACAAGAGACACTCTCAAACTATTTTGTGAACATCAAGCAGCACACAATGTCTTTGGCAACAGGTTAGCGAAGCGGCTGTGGCTCCAGTCACAACTGCCCACTCTCCATACTTCTTGAGGTCCTTTCCGGCTCGGAAGAAGAACTTGTAGGCCAAGTACCTGGGCTTACAATCCGAATCTGACAAGACGACATAGTGACATAGAGCTTATGATCGTCCACTGATTAGGGCAATCAGCATCCGCAAGTTTCAACAATGTACATTACTGTGACTAGCATTCCTCCGAACATCCCCATCGCGAGACTGTGGATTTCCGTGTCATACCACATGCCTCGATCTGCCAGTCCCTTGCCATCATCATCAACTGCATCATCATAATCACCATCATCGTCATGAACATCATCATCATCATCATCATCATCATCCGCAACCAAATCCTCAGCCTCATCCCGGCTCTCACCGCTCATCTTCAGTACGACTGTCCCCACTATCTCCTATAATCCTATACTATGCGAGTCTCTTGTTGAGCCCCTGCACACCTGGTAGGCCCGTTTCTGAGAAGGTCTGCGTTCCGAAAATGGTCTATCTATTATCTGCATTGCCACCAATTGAGTGCAGAACAACACGATAACCGCGACTACGAGGACCACACCGACTGCGACAGCGACAGCCTGCATGGCGATGATGATGATCATCATCATCATCAACAACATCATCATTACCATCATGATCGTGATTATGACCATCATCATCATGATGCTGATGCTGATGCTGTGGAGGATGCGGTGGATTAGAAGAGCCCAGTGCAGGTTGCAAGTTGATGATGTAATGATGCTGGCAACCGACATGCCGATGGGGACGGTCATCCGAAAAGATAAGATGTGCCAGCTGCATCAGAATCCACTCCACCATCTGTACACCAAAGGAAGCTCACCAGAAGTTTGAGGAATTTCTTCCGAGCTGCACAGCATGTGTGGCTTTCAAGATCACAGGGATGGCCAACAAGGAGAGGAGCTCCACCATTGCTTCAAGCAGGCCCGAACAATCCCGAGAAACCTATCTCCCTGCGAGCCCCTGCATTGAGCTAAGCTCTGTTGCATAAAGCCTTCTTCACGATTAATCCTCGAGCATGCAGCGTCGACTTGCCGACGAAACGGCTCGCAAGCAAGATGGACACCGGTGATTTGGCGTCATGGGCATGGCTGATGCAAGGCTGAGCACTATGCAGGCCCGAACTCCCAGATGACCATGACTAATTGTTACTTTGTGATGCGTTGGATTGAGTTGCCTTAGCTTCTTCTACTCCTAAGCTGCCAAGAGTCCTGTTGTTCAGTCTCGACACCCATGATGGAAGATGCCTGCATACGCCTCTGCAGATACTTGTAGTCTGTAGTAACCACTGTAGTACAAACGGAGACAAAGACCCCAGCTCTCAGGAACAGGTCATGGCATGCTAGGGGCCACACACGTGGTAGATTCGCAAGCGCCGCAAGCCTGCATGGACAAGTTGAGTGCATGGCGAAGTCATAAAAGCCTGTTCCTGCAGACATTCCGAGAAAGGGCCGACGAGTGCTCACAAACCAAGATGCTGAAGAGCTAGGCAAATCAGCCAAGGAAAAAACAAACACGCCAGCAGATCAACATGGACAATCACGGACGCAACAGATGTCATACAACGAACGAAAGGATTACCGTCCAAAGACATGCACAAAGGAGCCAACTCGCAAATGCAGAATGTGGCAAGTCCAAAAGGTTCGATGTATGCTTGTGCGTATGTATGTATGTATGTATGTGTATGTATATACACATACAGTTAGATGTATAGCTCTAGACACACACATACATTAATGGTAAGTAAGTGTGTGCAACAGTGGAAACAGAACGCTTTATGTCATTCTGTCAACCAACTTGACTGCGGCATGTCTGCAGGTAGGCTATCCCAGATGTGCATGCCCAGAAACCTTCTGACTGTCTTGCTCGCGGCATAGGTTCAGTCACTTACCATCGCTTGCACGTGCTCTGTCTACCCTACCGATATCATACCACTTTGGTTGCTGTGGATGTCGCATCGCCTGGCCGGTCTCTGTGCTGGTAAATTAGAGCTGGCTCCCCACAGCGTTCACAGGTGTACTTCAGAAGCAAAGCTACGGTAGGTCCTCGAACCAAGAACTGAAGTCCGGCTTTCCCAACGAACCAAAGACACCAGACCCCATAACCTCAACTGACCTCACGGACACATCCTAGTCGGGTCAGGATCACCTACATGATCTTATAGCCGGTGTCAAACTATCGGTCTGACTCTGCCGCATGACGCACTGGCTTTTCACCATCGCATCGGATTTCTCGCTGCATGAACCTACCCCTGCCCAAGTTGCCCACGGCGGGATAACCCTGTAAGGTACAATTTCTTGGAATTCCTTCGCACAGCCACTCAACGTGTGATGGATGTTGATAGAACTTGGACTTAAAGCCTCCCAACTGCCGCTGCGTGCGCATGCCATGAACACAGCCACAAAACTGTCTGACGCGCTGGAGTGTGACTTTAGAATTGTGATTGTCGGCACTTGCCTCCAAGCCTGTGCCAGGGACACCCCGTTTCGGGTCAGTATACACATCACGTCTTGCAGTGTCATGCTGCCGGTGCTCTCCAACCCAACTTCACTGTAACTTCACAGACTGCAGACGGACCGTGTTCAAACAAACAATTGCTGGCCTTAAACAGGAAGAGTGTAGGGCAAATGCCCTACAGACCGCACCGCAGGCAACTCAGGGGAGCTTGGGGCTACTGAGGAAAGGCTCGGTCGGTTCCTGAGACCATCATGCGAATATCGTGCGAATCCAGAACCTCGGGATCACTTTCAGGTAGCAGGCGGACGAGGTACAAATATGATTATGGTATTGAGTAGAAGTGCACGCCTAAATAGCGAGGGATAGATATTAGATTATTAGATCGAGAGAGAGAGAGAGAGAGAGAGAGAGAGAGAGAGAGAGAGAGAGAGAGAGAGACATCGAGCGAGCGAGCGAGAGGGAGAGAACGGGCTCCCTGTTTCCGTCTCCCGCTCGGTCCTTGTGCATGCGTGCAAACACATGAACGTGCCACTACCATTTCAACAGACCTTTCGGCCTTTCGGCTACAGGCAGTCACATACGGACGTTGGGCCACGCTCAATCAGGCCTGCGAGGCTGCTGCCACCAAATAGCATGTAGTGGTACTTAAACCTTGATGACGGATGTATCCCAGCAATAATCAGGACCGGGAACATTGATGTTCCAAGACATCTACAAGTTGGCACACATACCCAAGTTTCAGTTTCAGCGATTCTGGCGGGTCATCAGGCTTCTGTTGTGGCTCCCAGATACACTGCAAGCCTGTAATCAATGCAGTCGTCCTTAATGTTCCGTGTACATGCCTCGGTTTGAAACACTCGAAATGTGTTTCGGTCGGTCTCTTCGGCGACAAAGCACTCTCCAACCTAGAGTTTCAGCTCTCAACTGATACAGAGCGTCTTCGGTATGACAATCCGAGCGTGATATAAAACAGGAAGACGCGCAGTCGGCTGGTGAAAGGCGCCACATGGGCATCCGACAGAATCTGAGGTCGCCTAGTCTTGTGGTACCACAGCATTGCTCCAGTGCGTTTACACTGAGTTTACACTTCCATAAAACTTGCTATATCTTGCTATGCTACCGCTACCAAGACGGCGACGACTTGCTACAGCTGCTACAGCACTTCCACTGCCATTGCCGCCGCCGCTGCACTGCTGCACCTGCCGCTGCCCCTGCCGCTGCCGCTGCCACTGCCGCTGCTGCTGCTACCGCCACTGCTACTGCTGCTGCTGCTACTACTACTACTACTACTACTACTACTACTACAACTACTACTACTACTCCTGCTACTGCTACTGCTACTGCTACTGCTACTGCTACTGCTACTGCTAAAGCTACTGCTACTGCTACTGCTACTGCTACTGCTGCTGCTACTACTACTACAACTCCTGCTACTGCTACTGCTACTGCTTCTGCTACTGCTGCTGCTACTACGACGACGACTACTACTACTACCACTACTGCTATTACTACTGCAACTAGTACTACTACTACTACTACTACTACTACTACTACTACTACTACTACTACTACTACTACTACTACTACTACGCAGCAGCAGCAGCAACAACAACTACTATACTACAACTACTATTACTACTGCTGCTACTAAATGCCACTTAGCAACAACATCAACAACAACAACAACAACAGCAACACCAGCAACACCAGCAACACCAGCAACAACAGCAACAACAAAAACAACAACCACAACAGCAACGACCACAACCACAACAACAACAGCAACAACAACTCAAACAAACAAGCAAGCAAACAAGCAAACAAGAAAAACAACAACAACAACAACAACAACAACAACAACAACAACAACAACAACAACAACAACTACTACTACTGGTACTACCACTACTACTACTACTACTACCACTACCACTACCACTACTACTACCACTACTACTACTACTACTACTACTACTACTACTACTACTACGACCACCACCACCACTACTACGACGACGACGACTACTACTACTACTCCTGCTACTACTACTACGACTACTACTACTACTACTACTACTACTACTACTACTACTACTACTGCGATTACTACTGCAACTACTACTACTACTACTACTACTACTACTACTACTACTACTACTACTACTACTACTACTACTACTACTAGCCAAGAGAGCTTCCAGTGATCCGGGGTTTCTTTTGTTTCATACCACAACAAAGAAACGCTCAACTTTTCATCGCGACTTTGCGAACCTTTCCGGCAGGCTTCTGTCTTACCGCAGGACGCTTATGCACAGTTCCTGGGCGAGTAATCGCTTGGCCTTTGCCAAAAATCTGTGATAAATGTGTCGCTGTATAGACTTCTGGTTGTGGCGGATACCAAAACTTGTTGGCCAGCCGTTCTGATAACATCAAGTCAAAATGACGGTACCGGTTGCCTTGACATGTTGCTTGCCACATTTGCAACAAGCCGTTTTTGCGGAAAAAAATCGCTTGGGAACCTTCCAAGGCAAAGTTCATGTTATAGAACCAATCCAGTTTGGTGCCCTCTTTCCATTGCCGACGCCAGCCGGGCCATCCAATGTCTATTCCACGAGGCAAAGATGTCATGAGGTGTTCAATTTCTCCTGCTGTCTTCTGGAACCTGGCGTCAGCTTCAAGGAACCAGACATATCCAATATCTGCGCAACATTGATCGGACCGATAGCGGCGCAGCAGTTCTGAGCACCTGCAAAACCGGTCTGTGATTTGAAGCGCTTATCCTTACACCCAAAATTATGTTTGTTCATTGCAGTTTCACAGCTAGTCTTCAAAGAAAAAATATTAAACGAGCAAAATCAAACATACACTCATGCCTCCAGAACCATCGGTGCTGCACTGAGAAATGAACAACCTCATTTGGCTTCAGGTTTCGTCCCATATGTTGGTCAACATTACATCTGAACCCGTAGACGACGTGGACTTTCGTGGCACCGACCTGCTTCAGTTCTTTGAGAAGTGGAGCGTGGACACCGTGATTTCCAGAATGAGAGAGTACGATGAACAGTGAGTTCCTGATGCAAGCTGGTGATTGCGGTAGCACCAAAGCTTGTTCTTGTATATGCCGAGATCTGCATCGCTCCAGTGTTTTTCTCTTTGACTCCAAGGTGGTATACCACCAAGAATTCCCGCATGTGCAGCAACACCACGGCATGATCAAAAAAATGCGGTGAAACCGATCACTGGAAGATTCTCGTCTATGTCATGACTAGGGCATTAAACTATATTCGCTTCGAAGGCTTCGAACCGTTTGCTGTGTATAGCTGGACTACAGTGTAATAGTAGGTCCTTAGTAGGTGTTGTAGTGATGGAATACGGTAGTATCTGTGTGTATAAAATTTGCAACTGAACCGGATTTGGTTATCTTTGTTTAAGACATTTCCAGTCATTTGAGTCTT